CATGGGTGGGTGGATGGATGGATATAAAGATGGATAATTGGATGTATGTATGGGTAGCTGTAAAAGAAGGATGGATGGAAAGTTGGATGGGTGGAAGGTTGGATGGGTGGGTGGGTGGGTGGAAATAGAGATGGGTGGGTGGAAATAGAGACAGATGGGTGGATGGAAAAAGAGAAGGGCTGGGTGGATGGCAAGGCTGGCTGGGCACAGAAGGATGGAAGAATGATGGATATCAAACAGGCTGTAGGGACGGCAGGTTGGAGGGACATAAAAACACGGCTGGCCAGGTGGATGGCTATCAAAGAAAGCCGGGTAGACGGAGGGATGGTTGAAGGCGGAAGCTGGAGGAAGGGACGGGAAAGACACCAGGACACAGCGATGGAGTCCGTGCCCCGTCAAGGCTGACGTGAGGCGGAACGTTTCGGCGTTCCTGTGATTTCCCCCAAATTTCAGATCCAGCCCCCGTGCCTCTCCCCCCCGCAAGCCAGGCAGCACCCCGCCCTGGGCTGGGTGGGAACTGGCACCCCCGGGAGGGGGGGCCCCGTACCTGGCTGCAGTGGAGGCCACGGTCTCCTTTTCTCAGGGTACTTCTCCTCCAGCCATTGCTGAAGCTCGGCACCATATTCCTCCTGCAGCTCCCGCAGCGCCTCCAGGAAGCACCGGCTCCGCTCGGCCCCCTGGCTGACCCACTCGAGCAGCGCAATGACCTGGTTGGCCTGAGGGGCCGTCTCCAGCAAGGCGAAGTACTCCGCCTGGCTCAGCGCCTCCCTGTCGTGGAGCCGACGCAGCAGGGGCTGGGGGCTCCCCTGGAGCCAGCGGAGCAGGGGCTCCCGGTGCTGCTGGATCAGCTGGGGGAAATGCTGGGGGGCAGGCATCTGCTGGGGAGAGATGGAGAGAGAACCCAGGGGTCGTGGCTCCCAGCCGCCCCTGCTCTGACCACTAGCCCCCACTCCACTCCCAGAGCCAGGGAGAGAACCCAGGACTCCTGGCTCCCAGCCCCCCTGCTCTGACCACTAGCCCCCACTCCCCTCCCAGAGCCAGGGGTAGAACCCAGGATTCCTGGCTCCCAGCCCCCCTGCTCTGACCACTAGCCCCCACTCCCCTCCCAGAGCCAGGGGTAGAACCCAGGATTCCTGGCTCCCAGCCCCCCTGCTCTGACCACTAGCCCCCACTCCCCTCCCAGAGCCAGGGAGAGAACCCAGGACTCCTGGCTAACAGCTCCCCTGCTCTGACCACTAGCCCCCACTCTCCTCCCAGAGCCGGGGTAGAACCCAGGACTCCTGGCTCCCAGCCCCCCTGCTCTGACCACTAGCCCCCACTCCCCTCCCAGAGCCAGGGAGAGAACCCAGGATTCCTGGCTCCCAGCCCCCCTGCTCTGACCACTAGCCCCCACTCCTCTCCCAGAGCCAGGAAAATGCTATTCATAGTCTAAATTGGAGGGGCGAGTGCCCCGTCCTGAGCCCCACCCTGCAGCACAGTGCCCCCTAGCACCATTGGGGCCAGCCCTGACCGCTGGGGGAGAGCCCCCGACCCTGCAGCTGGTCTCCCATCCAGTCACCCACCCAGCTGATCCCGGCTTGGCAGCTCAGGTGGCCTGTAACCCTTATTCAGTGAGCAGGGAATGGGGCAGTGAAGGGGTGGATGGTGATGTGGGGAGGGCGGGGGATGGTGATGTGGGGAGGGCGGGGCGTCTTATCTCCACTCCTCCAAGGAGCTGACAACTTGACCTTCATTCCACTAATACAGCCCTCCAGTAACTGAGATGGGGGTGGCGTGGCTGCTGGGTGGGGGGGCAGGGAATGGGGCACGGGGCCTTTCACCTCTCAGGGGCGCCAGCTCTGATCCAGCCCCAGTGGGGGATTCTCTCTGGGCTCCTTCAGTGTCATGGCCCTGCCTGTGAACTGAGTGTGTCCAGTCTCAGCCCTGTCCCAGGGAGAGGGACCCCCCCACCACACACACACACGGGAGCTAACCGCCCCCTTGCCAGCAGACAAGGTGAGGGCTGGATCTGGGCCATGGGGCCTGAACTCCCAGCCCCACCCCCGTTCTAACCCACTAGACCCCCACTTTCCCCTGAGCTGGGATAGAACCCAGGAGTCCAGGCCCCCTCCCAACCCCCTCTGCTCTAACCACTAGACCCCATCCCACATCCGGGCAGTGGTGTGGGTCCTACCTGGGTCCAGCTGTTCCCTAGCTGGGTCTGTACAGTCCCTGAGCCCTGCTGTTCCCGGCCCGGCAGGGATGTCACCTCTCTCCTGAGCAACCTTTGACTCAATCATTAACCACAATCAGCAAAGGCCTTGCTGGGTAATAGCCCCTCCCTCCCTGGGTGAGAGCAGGGGGCTGGGAGCCAGGACTCCTGGGTTCTCTCCCCAGCTCTGGGAGGGGAGTGGGGTCTAGTGGTGGGAGGGGGGAGGGTCTCGGAGCCAGGACTCCTGGGTTCTCCCCCTGGCTCTGGGAGGGGAGTGGGGTCTAGTCGTTAGAGCAGGAAGTGTTGCTGAGGTCTGTGCTTTTAATAGCTGGTAACAGGGGAAGCAGTTTGAGGGGGAAGGGCTGGGCCCAGCCTGGGGCAGGGGGAGGAAGTGGGGTTCTGGGGGGCTGTGCAGGGAGCTCTGTGTTTTTCCTTGGTGCGGCGTCTGCTCTGGTCCCCACTAGCCACCTGGCAACGAGCCCTCCCCCAGCTCTGCCGGTGCCCCTCACTCCCGACCCGCAGCCCCCTGCCAGCCCAGCCCTGGGCTCCCCCCAGCTCTGCCGGTGCCCCTCACTCCCGACCCGCAGCCCCCTGCCAGCCCAGCCCTGGGCTCCCCCCAGCTCTGCCGGTGCCCCTCACTCCCGACCCGCAGCCCCCTGCCAGCCCAGCCCTGGGCTCCCCCCAGCTCTGCCGGTGCCCCTCACTCCCGACCCGCAGCCCCCTGCCAGCCCAGCCCTGGGCTCCCCCCAGCTCTGCCGGTGCCCCTCACTCCCGACCTCTTCCCGCTCTCTGTTCCGTTTGGAGCTCTAACTGTTCAACCTAATTTGCGTGTGTGTTAATCGGTCTCCTTATGGGTGCCTGGGGACCGCTCCAAGTGGAGGCCATTGCCCTATGAATGTGTCCTTGTGTGACCCCCCCCACGGTGTCACACCAGCCCAGTGTGACAAACACACCCGCAGCATGTCTCTCTCTTACACACACACACACGCTCTGCCTGGCCTGCTGGGGCAGGGAAGGGGACACAGACATGGACACACACTCCCACTCTGTCTCTCTCCTGCTCCATTCCAGCAATGCCAGCCCAAAGGTCACCCAGGGGCTAGTGAGCTGTGTATGGGGTGGGTGCCCCGGAGTGTCCCCCCACCCCCGATGCCCCTCCACGGCATGTGCCAGGGCAGATGTGGGGAAGGGGCGGGAGTGGAAGCTGCGGCTTCACAGATTCAGCCGGGCCCCAGGGCGACAGAGAAGCAATTATTTATAGTTGGCCGGAGCGCAGAGCGGACGGAGAGAAAACGAGGGCAAGAGGAAGACAGCGAGAGCCAGGCTTGGGCCAGCTCTAGGGGCGCTGGGGTCCGGCCGGACGCCGTCCCTGCCTGGTGAGGGGGTCTCGGGAATTCCCAGCGCAGCAAGTTGGGGGTGAAGGGGGGATATGGGGGTGAAGGGAGGAGAAATGGAAGGAAGGGTGGGGTGTGTCCCACAGAACCCCCTCGCCCAGAGCCAGGGGTAGAACCCAGGAGTCCTGGGTCCCAGCCTCCCTGCGCTAACCCCTGGACCCTCTTCCCTCCCCCAGAACCAGGGCAAGAACCCAGGAGTCCTGGCTATCCCCCTCCCCTGGGTTTGGCTGAGACCCTGAAGGACTGACCCCCGCCATCACTCCCCTTCACAGCATCAGCCACCCTGAGCAGGGGGGCAGGGGGCGGGAAATCGGGCCCAGATGGGGTAAGGGGAGGCCAAGGGGGGAGAGTGAAACTGACCAGAAATTGCTACAGGAAAGTGAAACTGACCAGGAGCCTGTGACTGGGCCCTGAGAGAGGTATGGGAGTCCAGAGCTGGGTGAGGGGGGGCGGGGAGGATAGATAGCTAGATGGGGGTGGGGGGGATGGATAGTGGTAGATAATTAGAGGTGTGGATGGATAGACAGAGGGATGTATGGGGATACATGTGGGGGTGTATTGGGATGGATAGATAGAGGGGTGTATGGGGGATGGAGGAATAGATAGGGTGGGTGGGGGTAGGGAGATGGGGTGGGCGGGGGTAGGGAGAGGGAGTGGGTGGGGATAGATGGGTGGGTGGAGGGAGATGGGCTGCGACTGTATGGGGAGATATGGGCGGGAGATGGGGTGCATGGGGGAGGGAGGCCTGGGTCCATGCAGAGGCCGGGAGTTCCCCCGAGCCAGGCCTGGGCAAGCGGCCAGCAGCTGGGTGGTGGGGGACGGGGACTGTGCTGGGTCATGTGACCTCCGTCTGTGTCTGCTCAGCCCGTGCCCAGCTGCTGATGACCCCCCCGCCCCTGCTCTAACCACTAGACCCCACTCCCCTCCTAAAGCCAGGGAGAGAACCCAGGAGTCCTGGCTATATTTTGAGCTCTGCTGCTGCCTCAGTTTCCCTGCTGTAGATGGGGGGGGCAGGGGATGGAGGGGAGTGAGCAGCTCCCTGGGGTGGGGGCGGGGTCTCTCCTAGGGGAGGAGCTGGACGGGTGATGCGGGGCGGGGTGACCCCCTACCCCAGTTTCCCAGCCAGGACTGGCTCCAGCAACACGAGCTGCGGGTTTTCCTAAGGAAGCCAAAGGGCTTTGGGCTGCGACTGCCCCGGGCGGAGAGACAGCAAAGGGAGAGCGAGTCCTGGGGTGAGTGAGATACGGGGCCCCCCGTAGGCGGCACAGCCCCAATCTGGCCCCAGGGTGGGGACTGGCTGGCTCGGGGGTGGAGAATGGGGCCTGGGGCCTTTCCCAGTTGTGGTGGGGGGGGCTGGCTTCGATGCAGGCTAGATCAGTTCCACTTATAACCCACGGCTCTCTCTCCAGCCCCAGCTTTCACAACTGACCTCGCATTGCGGAGCAGAGAGGGGGAGGGGACGGACACTTGGGGTGCGAATTGAATCCCCCCGACATGGCCGGATCCCCCCAGGCCCGTCACGCTGTGAGCCTCACGTGGCAGCACCTCCTGCTGGCCCTGCTGGAAGGTAAGTCGCGGCCATCCCTGTTCCCCAGCTGCCCCGCCCCAGAGGTGGCTGCATCTCAGCCCCAGGAGAGCCATACCTGCGTGGCGTTATGTGTGGCTGTTCCCCAGCTGCCCCGCCCCAGAGGTGGCTGCATCTCAGCGCTACATTCTGTCTTTCCAGCTTTGTATTACAGCCATGCCTCTGGCTCTTGGAGATCCTCACTCCCTGGGACCATCCGGGCTCTGAAGGGTTCCTGTGTGGTCATCCCCTGCTCGTTCACCTACCCCGGCTCCCGTGAGTCCCTGGGCGGTCCATTCAGCGTGGTCTGGTACCAGTACCGGAGCCGGGGCTACCCCGAGATCTATAACAGCCAGGATACGGCCAGCGTGCTGGCCGAGTACCAGGCCCGGACTCAGCTGCTGGGGGATCCGGAGATGGGGAACTGCACCCTGAGCATAAGCCCCGTGCAGAGTGAGGACGCTATGAGCTACTACGTCTGGATCAACCCCGACTCCGTCAGGCATCGCTTCTACGACGTCACAGTCCGGGTGGAGGTGGCAGGTAACTGGACACCCCCCACCTCACACAGGGCAGCCCCCCGGGGCACAAAGATGCGGCCAAAGGGAGGCTGGCAGCAGAGGGTTCCACCCCAGAGACAGTCGCATTGCAGGATGCCTGTATAAAGAGCCGCCCCTCCCTATATCTCAATGCTGGGCGAGGGGCACCGGCAGAGCTGGGGGAGGGCTCGTTGCCAGGTGGCTAGTGGGGACCAGAGCAGACGCCGCACCAAGGAAAAACACAGAGCTCCCTGCACAGCCCCCCAGAGTCCCACTTCCTCCCCCTGCCCCAGGCTGGGCCCAGCCCTTCCCCCTCAAACTGCTTCCTCCGTTACCAGCCATTAAAAAGCACAGACCTCAGAAATGCTCCCTGCTCTAACCACTAGACCCCACTCCCCTCCCAGAGCCAGGGGGAGAACCCAGTCCCTGCACCCCCACCCCAGAGGCAGCTGCATCTCAGCACTAGTGAGGGATCCTTGTATAAACAGCTGCCCCACCCCAGAGACGGCTGCATCTTGGTGCCGGGCGAGGCGCCCCTGTAGAAACAGCCCCTGTGACCCACCCCAGAGGTGGCTGAAACTGAGGGCGATCGCTCGCTGCCGTCTGTAACACCCTCCCCGTCTGTCTCCCCCAGACACTCCAGACCCGCTGATGCTGAGCGACCCCGGGGTGCTGATCGAGGGCGACCAAGCCACCATCACCTGCTCTGTCCGCCACACCTGCCCCTCGGCCCCTCCCAGCCTGGGCTGGAGCCCCGGCGGGGGCAAAGCCACGACCAGGCACGAGCGGCTGGCGGGGGGCGGCTGGCGGGCGGAGTCGGAGCTGAGCTACACCCCCTTGTACAAGGACCACGGGCGGCTCCTGCAGTGCACGGCCACCTTCCCCAACCAGCAGCAGGCCCGCAACGGGCTGTACCTGCAGGTCAAGTGTGAGTGAGAGGCGCTAGGGGGCGCCGTGCTGCAGAGGGCGGTGCGGGCGGGGAGCCACTGGGGGCGCTGTGGTGCAGGGGGCAGCAGGGGGCGCTGTGGTGCAGGGGGCAGGGCGGGAGGTTAGTAGGGGGCGCTGTGGTGCAGGGCAGGCGATCAGCAGGGGGCGCTGTGGTGCAGGGGGCGGGGCGGGGGGTCAGCAGGGGGCGCTGTGGTGCAGGGGGCGGGGTGGGGGATCAGCAGGGGGCGCTGTGGTGCAGGGGGCGGGGCGGGGGGTCAGCAGGGGGCGCCGTGCTGCAGGGGGCGGGGCGGGGGGTCAGCAGGGGGCGCTGTGCTGCAGGGGGCGGGGCGGGGGGTCAGCAGGGGGCGCTGTGGTGCAGGGCGGGGGGTCAGCAGGGGGCAGGGCGGGGGGTCAGCAGGGGGCGCTGTGGTGCGGGGCGGGGGTCAGCAGGGGGCGCTGTGGTGCAGGGGGCGGGGCGGGGGCTCTCCCGTCGCGGTGGGGGCTGGCCCCAGAGGGGGCGGGGCTGGCCCAGAGGACTGGTGGGGTGCTGCGGGGAAGGCCGGCGGCGGGAGGAGCTCTGGGCTCTCGGGGTGGCTGGTGGGGGCAGGCTCCCCCCAATGTGCCCCCTCCCCCCAGATCGCCCGCGGGGCGCGGCCGTGGCTGTGGTGGGGCCGGCCCGGCTGAAGGAAGGCGACAGCGTCACCCTGCGATGCACCAGCCAGAGCCACCCTCCGGCCACCGAGTACCGCTGGTTCCAGGGGCCGCGCCGGGCCCTGCTGCCCGGGCTGGGCCGGGGCCCCGAGGTGACGGTGCCGGCCGTGGGGCGCCACTCGGGGCCCTACCGCTGCGCCGCCGAGAACGAGATCGGCCTGGGGGAGGACTCGCCCGCCGCGCACCTCGACGTGGAGTGTGAGGGGGCAACGGGACGCAGGGCCCTGCCCCCTAGGGGCGCTGGCCCCGATCCGGGCACAGGGCGGGGGCGGGCTCAGTGGGGTGGGGAATGAGGCATGGGTCCTTTCCCCTCTAGGGGGCGCCAGCCCCGATCCGGGCACAGGGCAGGGGCAGGCTCAGTGGGGTGGGGAATGAGGCATGGGTCCTTTCCCCTCTAGGGGGCGCCAGCCCCGATCCGGGCACAGGGCAGGGGCAGGCTCAGTGGGGTGGGGAATGAGGCACGGTCTTTTCACCTTTAGGGGGTGCCGGCCCCGATCCGGGCACAGGGCAGGGGCAGGCTCAGTGGGGTGGGGAATGAGGCACGGGTCCTTTCCCCTCTAGGGGGCGCTGGCCCCGATCCGGGCACAAGGCGGGGTCGGGCTCAGTGGGGTGGGGAATGAGGAATGGGTCCTTTCCCCTCTAGGGGGCGCCGGCCCCGATCCGGGCACAGGGGGGGGGTCGGGCTCAGTGGGGTGGGGAATGAGGCACGGGTCCTTTCCCCTCTAGGGGGCGCCGGCCCCAATCCGGGCACAGGGCGGGGGCGGGCTCAGTGGGGTGGGGAATGAGGCACGGTCTTTCCCCCTCTAGGGGGCGCCGGCCCCGATCCGGGCACAGGGCGGGGGTGGGCTCAGTGGGGTGGGGAATGAGGCACGGGTCCTTTCCCCTCTAGGGGGCGCCGGCCCCGATCCGGGCACAGGGCGGGGGTGGGCTCAGTGGGGTGGGGAATGAGGCACGGTCTTTCCCCTCTAGGGGGCGCCGGCCCCGATCCGGGCACAGGGCGGGGGTGGGCTCAGTGGGGTGGGGAATGAGGCACGGGTCCTTTCCCCTCTAGGGGGCGCAGGACCCGATCCATTCCTGGGACAGGGGACTGGCTGGATCGGGGGGTGCAGAAGGGGCTACGGGGTCTTTCCCCTCTAGCCAGGGTCTTTCCCCTCTAGCCGGTGCCGGCCCCAGGTTGGGGGGCTGGCTAAGGGTTGCAGGAAATGGGGCATGGGGCTTTTCCCCTCTGGAAGGTGCTGGCCCCCAATCAACCCCAAGGCTTGGGTGGCAGGGAGTGGGGCACAGGGCTGTTCCCCTCTAGGGGGCGCTGGCCCCGATCCGGCCCCTGGGCGGGGCACTGGCTGGCTCAGGGGCGGCCGGGGGATCTGGGCTGGGTGCCCCACACGTCCTGTGTCCCGTTGCAGACCCGCCGGAGCTGCTGCCGTGGGGGAACTGCACGGTGCGGGGCCGCGGGCCCGGGGGGGCGGCCACGTGTCACTGCGCGGCCGAGGGGAACCCCCCGCCCCGCCTCGAGTGGCGCCTGCCCAACCGCACCCTCCCCGGGGACTTCGAGGGCCCAGAGCTGCAGGCGACTTCGTGGGCGCGGGGCCCCCTCATGAGCGGGGAGCTGCGGGGCCCGGCCGGGGCCCTGGCCAACGTGTCCTGCGCTGCCAAAAACGCCCATGGGCAGAGCCAGGCCGCGCTGCCCGTTGTGCCCGCAGGTACCGGGGGCCGGCGGGGGGCTGGGCATGGGGCCCCCTGGTACCGTAACTGCTCATGTACACGCCCCGACCCGGGTGCCGGCCGCACCTCGGGTTGCCAGCCGGAGTTCCCTCTAAGCTGCGCGCCGGGCAGGTGCTCAGGGCCGCTGTAGCCTCGGGGCAGCATGCCCCCCAAGCCCCTCATCCCTGGCCCCACCCCAGAGCCCTCACCCCTCAACCCTCTGCCCCAGCCCTGAGCCCCTCCCACACGCCGAACCCCTCAGCCCCACCCCCGCCAGATGACTTTGGCCCCGATAAGGAGGTGACGGGGCACACAGGGTCGTGTCGCACGTCTCCTCCATATTGGTGCACGTCACAACATTCACTCTGCACGCGGGTGGGGAAAACGAGAGGGAACCTTGTTATTGCCAACCGTCCCGCTTTGGCCGGGCGTCTCCCGGAATCGGGCTCCATCTCCCGGAGGCTGCTGCAGCCAAACCGGGAGAGTTTAGGCACTAAAAGTCCGGCGGTGCAGCAGGGCTAAGGCAGGCTCCTTGCCGGCCCTGGCCCCACGCCGCTCCCAGTGGTGGCCCACACGCCCCTGCAGCTCCTGGCGGGGGGGTGTCTCTGTGCACTGCTCCCTCCCCAAGCACCGACTACACAGCTCCCATTGGCCGGGAACTGGGGCCAATGGGAGCTGCGGGGGCAGTGCTTGTGAGCACAGGAAGCACAGGGAGCCCCCCACCTGCCCCCCAGGGGCTGCTGGGACGTGCCGGCCACTTCCAGGAGCGGCGTGGAGCCAGCCCTGCCTTAGCCCCGGTGCACCACTGTCTGGGTGCCACCCGGGGTAAGCGCCTCCCGGTCGAGCCCTCACCCCCCTCCTGCACCTGGACCCCTTCCCCAGCCCTGAGCCCCCTCCTACACCCCTCACCCCCTCCCGCACCCCAACCTCCTGCCCCAGTCCTGAGCCCCCTCCCGCACCCAAACTCCCTCCCAGAGCCTGCACCCTGCACCCCAACCCCCTCCTCCAACCTGGAGCCCCCTCCTCCCTCCAAACTCCCCCCCCCACAGCCCACATCCCTCACCCTGTCCCGCACCCCAGTCCCCTGCCCCAGCCCTAAACCCCCTCCTGCACCCAAATTCCCTCCCAGAGCTTGCACCCTGCACCCCTTCCTGCAGCCCAACCCCTTCCCAAAGCTCAGCCCAGAGCCCCCTCCCACACTCCGAACCCCTCGGCCCCAGCCCAGAGCCCACATCCCAACCCCCTGCCCCAGCCCCCCGAAAGTGAGTGAGGGTTGGGGAGAGCAAGCGACGGTGGGCGGGGGGATGGAGTGAGCAAGGCGGGGCCTCGGAGAAGGGGCAGGGCAGGGGCGGGGCCTCACGAAGGGGCGGGGCAGGGGGCAGGGCAAGGGGGTTTGGGTTTGTGTGATTAGACAGTTGACAACCCGAGCCGCATGTCTGGGGTAGCTTTGGGGGGGCTGGGCTTGGGGCTCTCTGTTACCTTAATTACTCACGTATACACCCTGACCCAAGTATCTGCCCCATGTCTCGGTAGCTCGGGGGGCTGGGCATAGGGTGGTCTGCTGCTGTAATTACTCACGTACACATCCAGGTCTGGTATTACCATAATTACCCTTTTACACGGGTTGTGCCTCGTATAAATCTGCCATTTATTGAATATAGACTGAGTGTGGGTATGGGGCTACTGTATATACTCACACCCAAATATAAGCCACCCCTCTAATTTACCCCCGGGCCAGAGTAACCTAGGAACCGCTGATCAGGTAATGCACCCTTCCCATATTTGCTTATATATACGCACGATGAGTACAAGCTGCCTGCCTAATTTAGCTCAGGAGCGGGGGACGATAGCACCCTCCCACCCATGCATGGGCATGCTGTTACTGTAATTACCCATATATAGATGCTGCCCCCCCTTTACGCACTGCTTGACACCATTAATCCCACTGCTCACACCAGCTGTGTCTGCCGGTCTCTCTGCAGGGGACGATAATTTGCTGCTCATGGTCTCCAGTGGAGCGATTGGCGGCGTTCTGCTCCTCTCGGTGCTGGCGATCGTGGTCCACAAGGTAGCCAGATCCAGGTGAGGGCACCAGGCCACGAGCTTGGAGGTCTGGTGGCTTAGCCACAAAGGAGCTGCAAGGTCAGCAGGCCCCACTCAACACCAGGGGGCATGGCTGCAGGCACAGAAGAGGAAGGGGCATGAGCGGAGGTCAGATACAGAGAGGCCCAGAGAACTGGACCAGGAGGATTGAGGGGGGTGGGTTCATTAGGACAAAGGGAGACACCTATGAAAAGCAGGCAAGTAGGAGGGGTTTGGACAGAACCTGGCTGGTCTCCTTGGTATGAGGCTTCTCTAAGAAATAATTAACCCGTGGGACTCCCTGCAACTGGATAGTTGCAGGGTTAACCCATGGGACTCCCTGTCACTGGGGATTAGCATGGTTAACCCACAGGGCTCCCTTGCCACTGGATATTTGCAGAGCTAACCTGTGGGACTCCCTGCCACTAGATATTGTCAGGGTTAACCCAGAGGAATCCCAGTCACTAAATATTGGACGGTTTAACCCATGGGACTCCCTGCCACTGGGGATTAGTTGTGTTAATCCCTGGGACTGGCTGCTGCAGGGTGGGCTCGTCAGCAGCTCCAGGGCTGCGGGAACCAAGCTAAAGCCTGCTCTCTCCTGCAGGAAAGACGAAGAAGAGGGTCCCTCGATCTTCGACAACGAAGGCAACGGGGAGCAGAGGCAGTCCCTCAAGGCGGGGAAGCCGAGCAAGGCGAAGAAAGAGGAGCAGTTCAACCTATACAGCAAGGCAAAGGCTGGGGGAGAGGTGGGAAAGGCCAGGGTCACACGCTCCCCCCGCCAGCTAAGCTGGGAGGGGCCTGGTTCTTCCCAGGATGGGAGACCTGCAGGGTGGGGGCTCTCCCTTGGCAATCAGGGCTGGCCCCAATGCCCCAGTGCAGCACGAGGGGGTGCCGTGCTGCAGTGATTAGCAATGAGGCATTGGTCAGTGCGCCCGAGTGCCGAGTAACCAGACCTCTCCGCTGTGTGTGAGACCAAGGAGGGCGGGATGTGGCCCCCGGCATCCTGGCCAGATTCCCAGATAGTTAATTACATTGGCGTCCCTAAAATCCATTCTGTCGCCGTAGATACATTAGTCTTTGTTAACTGCCCTTGGCTGCGTCTCGGTGCCGGGCGAGCCGTCCCCATGCGGCGTTGTGTGCAGCTGTTCCCCAGCTGTCCCGCCCCAGAGGTGGCTGCATCTTGGCGCCTGGCAAGCTGTCCCCATGCAGCGTTGTGTGCGGCTGTTCCCCAGCTGCCCCGCCCCAGAGGTGGCTGCATCTCGGCGACCTCTGTGTGAGTCAATCCTTCCTCTTTGCATCCTCAGGAGCCGGGCATTGATGACTACGAGGCCATGGAGAGAGTGGAAGACTATGAGAATTTAGCAGCAGGAGGAGCCGGACATTACGGGAACGTTGGCGCTTGGCAGCCGCATTTGCTGTCTGAGCAGATCTACTCCAATGTCTAACCCTAGAGTGGGAGCGGATGGGCCGCAAATGCTTCTAAATATCTCTTCTATTTAAACAAGTGCTTGTATAGCTAGGAGTAATAATAGCTAGATCCGTGGGGGTGAGTGGTGGGACGGCTGGTGACGACCTGGTGGGGGCAGTGGGATACGCCTAGAGCCAACCCATGTCGGGGACTGAGGTAGTAAGTTGAATCACTGAGAGCAACATGATGCTAGAGGTGTGATATAGAGAGGGGAAAACTGGTGTGAGCGGTGGGATTTAGCTAGAGTGAACTGGTGCTAGACGCGGGATTGCTGGAAAACTGACCAAACCACCCATCCCTGCCTGTAGCCATCTGCCCCTGCCAGGGATGGTTTAGTCACCACGTGTACCTGTAAAAGACCCCCACGCGCCCACCAGTCCCGGGCCACATGCCAGCTTCCCCAGGCATACGCTGATGTCCACATGCCCCCCCGTCCCCAGAGATGCCCAATCAGATTTGGTACCCCTTGATGACATAAGTCATCCAATGGGATGATGCCCCCTGTATCACCTGGTCCCTGTGCCAAGTCCCATTAACCCCCTAGGGGCTGGAGCGGAGTGAAATGCATGTAGGATCGTGCAAGGTTAAGAAGAGGGGATTTTTCTACCTTCTCCGATTTCCTAGGGGTTAAAAAAATCCCCCTAAAATCCTGGAAGGGGAGAATCTCAGGGTCTTGAAAGGTTCAAAGACCCCATAGGGGCAGGGTGAAAGGGGGTGACTTGAAACCCTGTTGATTGTGAAGGAACTGATCACATCTGCCACTGGGTGCAATTTTACTGCTGGGTTTAATATTATTAACCCCTGGGACTCCCTGCCACTGGATATTAGTTAAGCCCTGCAAATCACGGTTATAGAGCTTTGAAAGGCTATATTTCACCCCACTGTTCTTTTCTAATTCTGAGATCCACCCCGGCTGCTTTGCCCCAAACCAGTGGTGGATTTTACTGTAAGATTTTCAAAATATACGTCTCTATTTTTGTACTTTCAATGTGTCCACAGTGGTTTGATTATATTATAATACTGAGGTTAACCTGCGGGACTCCTTGCCACTGGGTATTAGTGGGCTAACCAGTGGGACTCCCTGCCACTAGGTCTTAGCGGGGTAAGCCTGCAGGACCGCCTGCTACTGGGTGTTAGCAGGATTAACCCCTGGAACTCCCTGTCACTGGCTATTAATAGAGTTAACCTGTGGGACTTCCTACCATTAGGTACTAATAGGGCTAACCTGCATTCCTCCCTGCCCCTGGGAAGTAGTGGGGTTAACCCATGGGACTCCCTGCATCTTGATATTAGTAGGGTTAGCCTGCAGGACTGCCTGCTACAAGGGATTAGTGGATTTATCTCATGTGGGGGGGGGGGTGTCGTATCAGTGTTAACCCAGGGAACTCACTGCTGCAGGGTGATTATTATAGTTAAATTACATGCAAATCTCAAGAGGGGGTGGGGAATGGGACATGGGGCCTTTCCCCTGTAAGAGGCACCGGCTCTAATCCGGCCCCAGGGTGGGGGACTGGCTGGCTCAGGGGCTGTGGAATTGGGTCTGCCAGTGGGGCAGACCCATTGGGTGGAGATGTGCGGGGCGGGGGGATGCAATGGGACCTTTCCTCCTCCTACCCCCACGTGGCGCCACCCCAGAAGAAGAGGCACTGTCTGGGCCTGGGAGGGGTTAACCCTTCAAGGGAGGGGGCGGCGCAGAGAACAGGTGTCGGGGGGGATCTGGCGGGGCCTGGGGGAGAGGCTAATAGAAACCCGGCCGCCCTGGCCCATGCTGATGGTCCCTCCCCACCCCCACTCTGGGCCGCACCCCCTCGTAAATCCAGACTGGGGGGCGGGGTGGGAGGTCGTGTGTCCGCCCCCCGCCCTGGAGATGAGCCATCGGCCCCGGGGCGGGCCAGAGGCTGAGGGACCGGCCGAGCTGTGGGGCCGATGGCTGGAGGGCAGGTCCTGCCCCGTGGGGTACGAGCCTTTCCCGGGGGGCGGCTGTCTGGAGGGCGGCGTGGGCCTGGCCTTGGCATGGCTAGCGCTGTGGGCAGCCCTCTGCTGCGGCCGGACCCCCGCTCTGGCGCTTCTCCTCGGCTTCTCTGCCACCCTGGGCCTGGGCCGCCGCGGTGCTGTCCCTGCAGGCCCGGACACGGCCCCCTCCCTCGTTCTACCCACTCCTCCCTCCCTCCGTCCATCCCTCCATCCATCTGTCCCCCTACAGCTCCCTCCATCCCCCTACGCCTCCCTCCATCCCTCCCTCTACACGCCCCTCCATCCCTCCCTCCATCCCCCTACACCTCCTTCCATCCCTCCCTCTACAAACCCCTCCATCCATCCATCCCTCCCTCCATCCCCCTACGCCTCCCTCCATCCCTCCTTCTACACGCCCCTCCATCCCTCCCTCCATCCCCCTACACCTCCTTCCATCCCTCCCTCTACAAACCCCTCCATCCATCCATCCCTCCCTCCATCCTTCCCTCCCTCCCTCCCCCTACACCTCCCTCCATCCCTCCCTCTACACACCTCCTTCCATCCCTCCCTCCATCCCCCTACGCCTCCCTCCATCCCTCCTTCTACACGCCCCTCCATCCCTCCCTCCATCCCCCTACACCTCCTTCCATCCCTCCCTCTACAAACCCCTCCATCCATCCATCCCTCCCTCCATCCCCCTACGCCTCCCTCCATCCCTCCTTCTACACGCCCCTCCATCCCTCCCTCCATCCCCCTACACCTCCTTCCATCCCTCCCTCTACAAACCCCTCCATCCATCCATCCCTCCCTCCATCCTTCCCTCCCTCCCTCCCCCTACACCTCCCTCCATCCCTCCCTCTACACACCTCCTTCCATCCCTCCCTCCATCCCCCTACGCCTCCCTCCATCCCTCCTTCTACACGCCCCTCCATCCCTCCCTCCATCCCCCTACACCTCCTTCCATCCCTCCCTCTACAAACCCCTCCATCCATCCATCCCTCCCTCCATCCTTCCCTCCCTCCCTCCCCCTACACCTCCCTCCATCCCTCCCTCTACACACCCCTCCATCCATCCATTCCTCCCTTCATCCATCCCTCCCTCCCTCCCTCCCCCATACCTCCCTCCATCCCTCCCTCTACACGCCCCTCCCTCCATCCCCCTACACCTCCTTCCATCCATCCTTCCCTCTACACCTCCCTCCCTCCCTCCCTCCATCCACCCCTCTACACACCCCTACACCCCTCCCTCCATTCAGCCCCATATAAACTCATCCATCCCTCCCTCCCCTCACTCCCTCCATCCCCCCAATCCTCCACCCGTCCCGGGAGCTGCCCCGCCGGGGGCTGGGCCGGGGTCACCCCAAGCCGGGGGGGGGAAGGTTCCATGGCAGTTGGCAACGCAGAGAGGCTGGTGTCGGGGTAAGGGCCACCCCCATCCCCCCCATCCCCCCATCTTCATCCATCCCCCCATCTTCGTCCGTCTCCATCCCTCCACCCCCACCTCCCCAACGTCCCGCCTTACCCATCCTCCCACCCCTCCATCCCCACACCCATCCCTCGCACTTCCCCTCCATCCGTCCTCACCCCCCACCTTGCCAACCTCCCCACCTCCCCAACCCCTCCATCCACCCCCACCCTTCCCCGTCCCTCCTCACACCCATCCCTCTGCCCTCCATCCACCCCCGATCCCCCCACATCCCTCCAGCCCCCCCCCCCCCAGCTCGGGAGGTGCCTGAGGTCCAGGCCCCAGGGCTCTGGCTCAGCCCAGCTGCTCTGGGCCAGGATTTGCCTCTGATTCATTCCCCGCCCCCAGGTGCACCCCGGATCCTGCCTTCCGTGGCCCCGAGCTCCCCCCGCGATGGCGTCGCTCCGGATCCCCAGCACCGCCCTGGCCCTGCTCAGCCTCCTGCTGCTGCTGGCCGCCCTGGGCTCCGACCGCTGGCTGGTGGCCGATGGCCACCTCGTCACATCCTACTCGGGGCTGTGGAAAGTCTGCGTGAATTCGGGGTGTTGGACGTTTGCTTCAGTGCCAGGTGGGGGCAGCCCGGCTCCGCCAGCAAACCCTACTGCTGCTGGGGGCCAGGATGCCTGGGTTCTAGCCCTGAGAGGGCAGCGGGGTCGAGTGGTTACAGCAGGGGAGGTTGGGAGCCAGGACGCCTGGGTTCTGGCTCTGGGAGGGGAGCGGGGTTGAGTGGCTTGAGCAGAGAGGGTTGGGAGCCAGGATGCCTGGGTTCTAGCCCTGGGAGGGGAGCGGGGTCGAGTGGTTACAGCATGGGAGGTTGGGAGCCAGGACGCCTGGGTTCTGGCTCTGGGAGGGGAGCGGGGTCGAGTGGTTACAGCAGGGGAGGTTGGGAGCCAGGACGCCTGGGTTCTGGCTCTGGGAGGGGAGCGGGGTTGAGAGGCTAGAGCAGAGAGGGTTGGGAGCCAGGACGCCTGGGTTCTATTTTAGTCTGCTGCAGGGTTATTCTCCATTTAGCCTCTGGTCTCTCTTGGCTCCTCAGGGTACATTGAATCCACCAGGGCTTTCCTGTTCCTGGCCATGATCGCCGGGTTTCTCTCCTTCTTCGCCCTCCTCGCTTCGTTCTTCCGCTCCCACCTCGGCTCCATGTCTCTGACCCTGATCTCTGCTGTGGGCAGCTTCAGCGCAGGTACCGCCCCCTGGGGGCCTCCTGCCCCCAGCTACTCCCAGCCCCCCAAACCATGCACCACCACCCCCAGCCAGCCCTGGGGAGCCCCCCATCCAGGGACCCTGCCCTGGGCTCTAGCAGCTCCCCCCGGTGGTGGGACGGGGCAGGGGCTGGGACTGTGCGTGGGCCGCACTAAGGGGTGTCCGTCCTGTTCCCTTTGCCCCAGGGCTCTGTGCCATGATCGCGCTGGCCGTGTACACAGGGGAGTTCGCTGGGGCCGTGAATGTCGCCCCGGGCCAAGTCACCTTCGGCTGGTCCTTCGGCCTTGGCTGGGCCTCCTTCCTCCTCTTCCTCATCACCGGTGAGTGCAACATAGAGGAGTGTCGAAAGGCAGCTGCCTCTGGGGTGGGGCGCAGGGGCTGGTGATACAGGGACCCCTCGCCCAGCGCTGAGATGCAGCCACCTCTGGGGTGGGGGGCTGCGTACCAGTAGATGATGCTCCCATTGCTGCTCTGAGCCTATTTCTCTTCTCTCCCCTCAGGTGTGGTGACGCTTCGTATCCTGAGAGTCTCCTAGAGCCGAGTGTGGGGCCCGCACTGCCCCATAGGAGCCGGACCGAGCCTGCGGGATCCTGGGACTGATTGCCCCAACACCCCCGAGCAGGGGGCGGTGTGTGTGTGTGTGTGTTACCCTGGGATCCCACAGACCCATGATTTCCCCCCTCCCCACAAGCTCCCCTTTCTGTTCCCTTCCTTTCCCCACAACTGCTGCTAGACCCACTTGTTCCATGGAGATTAAAGGGCCTGTTCTCAGAGCCTCCTGTCTGGTGATTTATTCCCCCTCGGAGACGGATGTGTATTGAAGACGGCCAGGACTCCTGGGTTCTATCCCCAGCTTTGGGAGGGGAGTTGGTTCCAGTGGATTAGAGCTGGGGGAGGGGGCTGGAGGGAATCAGGACTCCTGGGTTCTCTCCCTGGCTCTGGGAGGGCAGTAGGGTCTAGTGGTTACAGCAAGGGGGTTGGGTCTGGGAGCCAGGACTCCTGGGTTCCATCCTCCCGTTGGCTCTTTGCTAAGCATGGGTGCGGCTGGCTGGTGCTTGGATGGGAGACCCCCCGGGAAGCAGAGAAGGGGGGGAGCAGGGGTCTCACCCAGGAGGGGAAGGTCATGCGGGGGTCGGGGGACGGGACCCCACCTCCAGTGTGGGGTACAAGAGGCACCCTGGGGGGTGGGGGTAGCCCTGAAGCTGATACTTGTTTGGAGCGGCATTAACCCTTCGAGGGGGGACCTGATGCAGAGATGGGGGGAGGGGATGCCCTGTGCCGGGGGGGGGCTGGGATTGAGAAGGTTAAATTAAGCAGAGTCCCCAGCGCAGCCCTGGCTGTCTGGGGAACGCAGTCCTGACCCCGTCCATCCGTCCGTCCCCAGACACCCTGTGATAAATGGGGGCGGGGGGGGAGCTCCCTTTGATGGACACCCAGCCAGCCCCTAGCTATAAAATCCCTCTTAGTAGCTGTTCTCCACTTGCTCTCCCTGTAAAGGCTTCAAAAGTCCCCCAGGTAAAGGAAAGGGAGTGGGCACCTGGCCAAGAGAGCCCACGGGAAGGTTCAAGCTTTTAAAAATTGACCAAAGACCCCCCCACATTGTCTGACTGTGTCGATCTGCCGGGAGAGGGGCCAGGGCAGCGCGATCCTGCGAGAAGCCCGGGGCCGGGTCTGAGAAGCTCCTCAGGATCATACCCAGAAGCCGCTCGTGTGAACCCCCCGCGACGCCGGTCGGCCGGGGACCGTCCAGGGAGACGCCATGAGGGTTGGCCCTCTGAGTTCGGGACGGCCCGGGGCCTCCCCTGCGCTCACCCCGGGGGCTTCTGCCTTGCTCGCCACCTTGAAGCGGGCCCTCGAGAGAGCGCTTCGTGGCGCGGGACCCTCCTAGCTGCTCTTTTCAGATCTAGCAGGCGCCCGAGTTCTCAGGTGCCTCTTCTCGAACCCGTAACATGGAGCTTTTTATAAGAACAGGAGTTGGATTTTGGCGGCCAAGAGGTTTGGGCCCATGTTGATTAATTGGCTGATAGCCCCTGCTCATCGCCTTTGTTTTCTGTCTCAGCTCTTCCCCGGAGGGGGGTGAAAGGGCTCGAGGGCGCCCCACGGGGAGGGATTCCCCAGGGCGCCTTCCTGGGTCCAAGGGGGGTTTCTTGCTTTTGGGCGCTGGCAGCGTTCAGCGAGCCAAGGTCAGAGAGAAGCTGCAACCCCGGGGGTTTAATGCCAGCCTGGGGGGTGGCCACTCTTAGCGTTTAAAGTCCTTGCGGGGCCCCCACTTCCTGCACCCGAAGTGCCGGCGTGGGGAATCCGCCTCGACAGCCCCCAGCCCCAAACACGGCCTCGCCTCGCTCCATCCGCAGGCCCAGCCGCCCCCAGCCAGCCTGGGAGCTGCCCCGGCGGGGGCTGGGCTGGGGTCCCGGGGGGGGGGGGGGGGAAGGTTCCATGGCAGTTGGCAACGCAGAGAGGCTGGTGTCGGGATAAGGGCCACCCCCCCATCCCCCCATCCCCCCATCTTCGTCCATCCCCATCCCCCCATCCCGCCTTACCCATCCCCCCATTCCCCCCATCCCCCCATCCCCCCATCCCCCCATCTTCGTCCGTCCCCATCCCCCCATCCCGCCTTACCCATCCCCCCATCCCCCCATTCCCCCCATCTTCGTCCATCCCCATCCCCCCATCCCGCCTTACCCATCCCCCCATCCCCCCATCTTCGTCCGTCCCCATCCCCCCAACCCGCCTTACCCATCCCCCCATCCCCCCATCTTCGTCCGTCCCCATCCCCCCAACCCGCCTTACCCATCCCCCCATCCCCCCATCTTCGTCCGTCCCCATCCCCCCATCCCGCCTTACCCATCCCCCCATCCCCCCATCTTCGTCCGTCCCCATCCCCCCAACCCGCCTTACCCATCCCCCCATCCCCCCATCTTCGTCCGTCCCCATCCCTCCATCCCGCCTTACCCATCCCCCCATCCCCCCATCTTCGTCCGTCCCCATCCCTCCATCCCGCCTTACCCATCCCCCCATTCTCCCCATCCCCCCATCTTCGTCCGTCCCCATCCCTCCATCCCGCCTTACCCATCCCCCCATCCCCCCATCTTCGTCCATCCCCATCCCCCCATCCCCCCATCTTCGTCCGTCCCCATCCCCCCATCCCGCCTTACCCATCCCCCCATTCCCCCCATCCCCCCATCTTCGTCCGTCCCCATCCCCCCATTCCCCCCATCTTCGTCCATCCCCATCCCCCCATCCCGCCTTACCCATCCCCCCATTCCCCCCATCCCCCCATCTTCGTCCGTCCCCATCCCCCCATCCCGCCTTACCCATCCCCCCATCCCCCCATTCCCCCCATCTTCGTCCGTCCGCATCCCCCCATCCCGCCTTACCCATCCCCCCATCCCCCCATTCCCCCCATCTTCGTCCATCCCCATCCCCCCATCCCGCCTTACCCATCCCCCCATTCCCCCCATCCCCCCATCTTCGTCCGTCCCCATCCCCCCATCCCGCCTTACCCATCCCCCCATCCCCCCATTCCCCCATTCCCCCCATCTTCGTCCGTCCGCATCCCCCCATCCCGCCTTACCCATCCCCCCATCCCCCCATCTTCGTCCGTCCCCATCCCCCCATCCCGCCTTACCCATCCCCCCATCCCCCCATCTTCGTCCGTCCCCATCCCTCCATCCCGCCTTACCCATCCCCCCATTCCCCCCATCCCCCCATCTTCGTCCGTCCCCATCCCTCCATCCTGCCTTACCCATCCCCCCATTCCCCCCATCCCCCCATCTTCGTCCGTCCCCATCCCCCCATCCCGCCTTACCCATCCCCCCATCCCCCCATCTTCGTCCGTCCCCATCCCCCCATCCCGCCTTACCCATCCCCCCATCCCCCCATTCCCCCCATCTTCGTCCGTCCCCATCCCCCCATCCCGCCTTACCCATCCCCCCATCCCCCCATCTTCGTCCGTCCCCATCCCTCCATCCCGCCTTACCCATCCCCCCATTCCCCCCATCCCCCCATCTTCGTCCGTCCCCATCCCTCCATCCCGCCTTACCCATCCCCCCATCCCCCCATCTTCGTCCGTCCCCATCCCTCCATCCCGCCTTACCCATCCCCCATCCCCCCATCCCCCCATCTTCGTCCGTCCCCATCCCTCCAACCCGCCTTACCCATCCCCCCATTCCCCCCATCCCCCCATCTTCGTCCGTCCCCATCCCTCCATCCCGCCTTACCCATCCCCCCATTCCCCCCATCCCCCCATCTTCGTCCGTCCCCATCCCTCCATCCCGCCTTACCCATCCCCCCATCCCCCCATCTTCGTCCGTCCCCCTCCCTCCATCCCGCCTTACCCATCCCCCCATTCCCCCCATCCCCCCATCTTCGTCCGTCCCCATCCCTCCATCCCGCCTTACCCATCCCCCCATCCCCCCATCTTCGTCCGTCCCCATCCCTCCATCCCGCCTTACCCATCCCCCCATCCCCCCATCCCCCCATCTTCGTCCGTCCCCATCCCTCCATCCTGCCTTACCCATCCCCCCATTCCCCCCATCCCCCCATCTTCGTCCGTCCCCATCCCTCCAACCCGCCTTACCCATCCCCCCATTCCCCCCATCCCCCCATCTTCGTCCGTCCCCATCCCCCCATCCCCCCATCCCTTCGTCTTCGTCCGTCCTCATCCCACCTCCCCACCCCTCCTCTCCCCATTCCCCAGCCCTCCGTACCCCCACCAACCCCTCCCCCTTCCCCTCTGTCCGTCCTCATCCCACCTCCCGTCCTTCCATCCCCACCTCCACCGACCCCTGTGCCCACACATGGATCCCTCCCTCCATCCACCCCCTCCATCCCTCTGCCCCCCCCACGCCCCCACTCGTCTGTTCCTGCACCCATCGGCCCATCCCCACTCCTCCACCCACCCCATCCCCAGTATCCCTCCCCCATATGCACCCCTCCATCCCCCATATCCCCCCATCCCCACCCCTCCGTCCACCCACCTCCATCCCAATGTCCCTCCCATGCCCCACCCATCTGTTCCTGCACCCATCAATCCATCCCTCTGCCCCCCTTCATCCCCCCCATTCCCTCCATACCCCATTCACAGACCTCCATCCATCCATCCATCCCTCCCCACACCCACCCCTCCATCCCCGTCCCCCCATATCCCTCCCCCATAGACACCCCTCCATCCCCCCATACACACACCTCCATCCATCCATCCATCCCTCCCCACACCACCCCCCATCCCCATCCCCCCATACCCCACCCCCATAGATACCCCTCCATCCCCCCATATCCCTCCCCCTTCCCCTCCCCTCCATCCACTCCCTTCCATCCCTCTATCGTCCCCACGCCCCATCCATCTGTTCCTGCACCCATCAATCCATCCCTCTGTCCCCCCTCCCTTCCCCCCATACCCCCCGCCACACACCTCCATCCATCCTTCCTTCCCCACACCCACCCCTCCATCCCCCCATCCCCGTCCCCCCATATCCCTCCCCCATACACACCCCTCCATCTCCTCCAACCCCCCATATCCCTCCCCCCATATTCACCCCTCCATCCACCCATATCCCTCCCCCCATACACACCTCCATCCATCCATCCATCCCCATAGCCATCCCTCCATCTCCCAATACCTGTCCTCCATACACACCCCTCCATCCCCCCATTCCCCTATATCCCTCCCCCCATCCCCACCCCTCCATGCACCCCCCTATCCCTCCCCCCATCTACCCACCTCCATCCATCCACCCATCCAGACAACCGAGGGCTTGGCTCAGATCAGCTGGTCTAGGCTGGGGTTTCCATCTAACTCTCGTCCCTCCCTGCCCCTCCTGCAGGTGCTCCCCAGATCCCAGCCTGCCCCCGGGCCCCCACCCCACGATGCTGCATCTCCAAGTCGCCAGCCCCACCCTGGCCCTGCTCAGCCTCTTGTTGCTGCTGGTGGCTCTGGGCTCTGACCACTGGCTGCTGTTAAAGGAAAACCAGGTCGTGATGCATTCGGGCCTGTGGAAGCTCTGCATGAATCTGGGGTGTCTGATACCTTTGAATGTACCAGGTTAGGGCAGCCCGGCTCTGCCAGGGATCCCACTGCTCCCACCAGCCACCTCCAGGACTCCCGGGTTGTAGCCCCAGGTCTGGGAGGGGAGTGGGGTCTATGGGTTAGAGCAGGGGTGGGGGTGGCTGGGAGCCAGGACTCCCGGGTTGTAGCCCCAGGTCTGGGAGGGGAGTGGGGTCTATGGGTTAGAGCAGGGGTGGGGGTGGCTGGGAGCCGGGACTCCTGGGTTCTGTGGTAGTTGGTGGCCATGTTAGTCTCCATTTCAGCCCTGGTCTCTCTTGTCTCCTCAGATCTCATTAATGCCAGCAGGGCTTGCCTGATCCTGGCCGTGATCGCCGGGTTGCTCTCCTGCTTGGCTCTCCTCGCCTCGTTCTTCTGCTCCCACCTCGGCTCCGTGTCCCTGACCCTGGTCTCCGCCGTGGGCAGCTTCAGCGCCGGTAGCACCCCCTTGGGGCCCCCTTCCCCCAGCGACTCCTTCGGATACGTGGTCCCTCCCACACCAGGGACCTGGCTGTCACATTCGGGGCTCTCCCCAGACCAGAGGGGGGAGTGTTTCCCCCTGCCCTATTACCCCGGGTGCCTTAAGATGTTCTGCTCACAGCCCGGGCCCCCCCAGCCAGCGGGCAAGGCTGTGTCCCCTGAGCATCCCTGGGCCGTGCCACCCGGGGTCACCCCCAGCAGCCTGCCCACAGCCCCACGTCCTGGTCCCCGCAGCCTTGGGTCCTCCTTGCTGGTGGGAGGTTTGAAGCCTGTTCTGGGGCCCGGGTACAAAGGCAAATTCGCATCCTCGTGGCTAAGATTTATGCTACGCACTTGGGGCCCGGGAGATTTCTTAGCCAGCTGCCTCTCCCCGGCCGCTGCTAGGGTGACCAGATGTCCCGATTTTATAGGGACAGTCCCAATTTGGGGGTCTTTTTCTTACATAGGCTCCTATTACCCCCCACCCCCGTCCTCATTTTTCACACTTGCTGTCTGGTCACCCTAGCCGCGGTGGGCTTTCTCTCCGTCCTGACCGGCCGCGGATGACCAAGGGGCTGGTTTCCTTTGCCGCCCCAGATCTTTGCCTCACCAGGTTTCTCAGCTAGATCCAGTGCCTGGGGACTTCGGCCCCCTTGGACTCTCGGCTGACCCCCTTGCGTGGTGCCGATCGTCCCCACCTCATGCTTCGACGCCCCGCGCTCCTTCCCCGCCGGCGGCCGCCCCGGTCACTCCGGAATCGGCGCAGCCTTGTTTGAGCGTGTCGGAGGCCGGGAGGTCGCTGCCTTTCCGCCCTCCGGGGAGAAAACCCGGTTTCTCCCCCTTCCTCTGGTCACGTAACGCCCAATGTGACCGAGTGGCCGGAGCTGCCCCCGCGGGGTTCACACCCACACGCCCCGACGCTCCGTCGCCAGCCTCTCCGGACCCAACCTCGCTCCGGCCGCGGCGACCGGCTGACTCCGCGCTGTTCCCTTTGGCCCCAGGTCTCTGTGCCACCGTCGCCATGGCCATGTTCACATCCCAGAGCACGAAGACCATAATGATCACCTCGCCTCAGGTCAGCTTCGGCTGGTCCTTCTACGTCGGCTGGGCCGCCTGCCCACTCTCCCTCCTAGCCAGTGAGTGCAGCCGAGTGTGTGTGGGGAGGGGTATTGAAATGCAGCCACCTCTGGGGTGGGGCCGTGGGGACCGTTTATACGGGGACCCCTCACCCAGCACTGAGATGCAGCCGCCTCTGGGGTGGGGCCGCGGGGACCGTTTATACGGGGACCCCACACCCAGCACTGAGATCCAGCCACCTCTGGCGTGGGGCCGCAGGGACCGTTTATACGGGGACCCCTCACCCAGCACTGAGATGCAGCCGCCTCTGGGGTGGGGCCGCGGGGACCGTTTATACGGGGACCCCTCACCCAGCACTGAGATGCAGCCACCTCTGGGGTGGGGCCGCGGGGTAGCAGCCGCACAGCGACGCAGCATGGGGCTGGCTCACCCGGCTCTGAGACGTCCCCGTGGCTCCCATCACTGCCCTGAGTCTGGTTTTCTCCTCTCCTCCCAGGTGTGGTGACACATTGTTCCCAAGGATCCTCATCCCGCTGAGTGTGGGGCCCGCGCTGCCCCCCGGGGGACTGAGCCGGGGGCCGGACGGAGCCTGCAGCCTCGCCGGGCCAATTCCCCCGGCCGCCCTGTGTGCGCGCGTGTGCGTCCCTGCGGGTTCCCACAGACCCGTGATTCCCCCCCACGACAGAGTCCCCCCCTTTCTGTTCCCTTCCTTTCCCCATAGCCGCTGATAGACCCACTTGTTCCTTGGAGATTAAAGGGCCTGTTCTCAGAGCCTCCTGTCTGGTGACTTATTCCCCCTCGGAGACTGGGAGGGGAGTGGGCTCTAGAGGGTTAGAGGATGGGGGGCTGGGACCAGGACTCCTGGGTTCTATCACCCGCCCTGGGAGGGGAGTGGGGTCTAGTGGGTTACAGCTGCGGGACGGGGCTGGAGGGAAGCAGGACTCCTGGGTTTTCTCCCCCGCTCTGGGAGGGGAGTGGAGTGGAGTCTAGTGGGTTAGAGGAGGGGGGACTGGGACCAGGACTCCTGGGTTCTATCCCCCGCTCTGGGAGGGGAGTGGAGTGGAGTCTAGTGGGTTGGGGGGGGGCTGGGAGCCAGGACTCCTGGGTTCTATCCCCCGCTCTAGGGGAGTCCTGCCAGCCCAGCTGTCTCTGCTATTGTTCTCTTACCCTGGCAGAGCAGTGCGAGGATGATTTCAATGCAGAGCTTGGTGGAAGGGGGCATCTGGCTGGCTCCTTGCACCCACACCCTCCCGCTCCTGGACTCACGGCTCCGCGATTTGCTCCTCTCAGTGGGTCCCAGGTCGTTGCATGGGGAGGTGCTGGTGGGAAAGAGGGAGGGGAAATGACTGAGCAGAGCAGGGGAGTGGGGTCTAGTGGTTAGCGCTGGGGAGGCGGGGAGCCAAGACTCCTGGTTCTCTCCCTGGCTCTGGGACGAGAGTGGGGTCTAGTGGTCAGAACGGGGCGGGGAGCCAGGACTCCTGGGTTCTGTCTCTCGCTGGGCTCTCTTGCTAAGCAGGGTTGGGGCTGGGCTGAGAGGCCCCCCCCGGAGAGCAGAGGAGAAAGATCTGCCACCGCCTGGAAGGTCTTCTCCTCTCAGGGGCCAAGCTCAGAACAGGCGTGTCCGATTTAAGGGCCAGCGAAGACACTGAGGAATTTCTGTCCCTGTTGGAAAGACTCGGGGACATTCATCGACGGCCGGCGGGGAGAAGCTGCCCGTTCCCCGCCAGTGTTCTCGGCTGACTGCGGGGCATTCGGCGACGCTTTCAATTATGGAAAGTTTAAAGAAAGTGTCTTGCAAAGATTGACCGTTCCTGTCGAGCCCGAGAGGCTGAAGGCGATCGGATCATGTGCCCTGCCTGGAGACGGGGCAGGAACGGTGTGCGGACCTTGGAGTCGGGGGGCAAAGGCTTCCGAGCGTTTTGTTGAAGGGATGGCTTGATTCGCTGTGGAGCGGCTTCTCCGTAACCGGTGGGGTGGGGGGTCAGGAGCACAGCGTGGGGCTGGCTGGTGAATCTAACGACCACAGTAATCACTGGTTTGGGGAAAATCTGCTCCCCCTTTTCGCAGCCTGCCCTGCCCTTGGCCTTCCCCGTGTGGGCCGCTGTCACGACGTCCCCGGGCAATGCTCTGGACGGCTCCCCACAAAGCCGGCAGGACTCTGGGGGAGTCTCCTCTCGGGGAGCAGCCTGTCTGCAGGACACACAGCTCCCCCGGCTCCACCTTCCTGGGTCTGACCTCGGAGCATTCAGCCTCCTCTGCCCCTCCGGGCGCTTCCCACAGCGAGTCCGCCCAGGCGGGGTCCTGGGGAAGCCAGAGGGTCCTGCCCCCCAACTCTGCAGTCAGACATGACTCTCAGCCAGCCAGTAAAACAGAGGTTTATTAGACGACAGGAACATGGTCTAAAACAGAGCTTGTAGGTGCAGAGAACGGGACCCCTCAGCTGGGTCCATTTTGGGGGCCATGAGCCAGACAACCACATCTGCACTTCACTCCATGTCCCAGCCAGCCTTCAACTCAAACTCCCTCCAGCCCCTCCTCCTCTGGGCTTTGTCCCTTTCCCGGGCCAGGAGGTCACCTGAAAAAAAAGGTTTTCTCTCCCCCCACCCCACTCTCCTGCTGGTAATAGCTCATCTTAAGTGATCGCTCTCCTTACAATGTATATTTTTTCATGTATATATAAAATCTCCTCACTGTACTTTCCACTTTATGCATCTGATGAAGTGAGCTGTAACTCACGAAAGAATTATGGTCAAATAAATTGGTTAGTCTCTAAGGTGCCACAAAGTCCTCCTTTTCTTTTTGCGAATACAGATAAACACGGCTGTTACTCTGAAACCTGATTCCTTTGTTCTCCAACCCTTTAGCTCTCACCTTGCAGGAGGGGGGGGGAAGGGCCCAGGCCATCAGTGGCCAGGAAAAAGGGTGTCAGCCATTGTCTGTGTCCAGACCCCCGCACCCACCTGCCCTGTAGGGGTCTGCAATGATCATACACCCTTATCCCACCCCCTAGACACTTAAGAACTGCCTAGGGGAAACTGAGGCACTCCCACACTATTCAGAGGAAACATTAAGAACAGTCCCACTTCATCACAGCCACCTTGGGCAACCCAGGGCACAGTGGCAGGGATAGCTCAGTGGTTTGAGCATTGGCCTGCTAAACCCAGGGTTGTGAGTTCAGTCCTTGAGGGGGCCATTTAGGGATCTGGGGGAAAAATTGGGGATTGGTCCTGCTTTGAGCAGGGGGTTGAACTAGATCCCTGCGGAGGTCCCTTCCAGCCCTGGTATTCTATGATTTCAGCAGAGTCCCCTGGACAGCCCGGCATACACAGGGAACCCAAGGGTCCATCTGGCCCCACAGCCCTGTCCAGCCACCCCCAAACACACCCACCCCGCCCTCCCCACTCCCCCCATCCACCCCCTGGGCTGGGCTGGGGTCTCCCCAGGCTCCGCGCTGGGGTCCCGGGGGGAAGGTTCCATGGCAGTTGATGACCCAGAGAGGCTGGTGTCTGGGTAAGGGCCACCCCCCAAGCCCTCCACCCCTCCACCCACCACCCCCAGATCTGTCTGTCTATCCCGCTCTGGGCTGGGATTTCCGTCTGACTCTCCCCGCCCCAGATGCTCCCCGGCCCCCCGCGCTGCCCCCACAATGCTGCCACTCCAGGTCCCCAGCACAGCCCTGGCCCTGCTCAGCCTCCTGCTCCTGGTGGTGGCCCTGAGCTCCGACCACTGGCTGGAGGCAAGACGAAACGGCATCTTTGTCCACTCGGGGCTCTGGAAGATCTGTGTGAATTCAGTGTGCGGCATGCCTTCGAAACTACCAGGTGAGGGCAGCCGGCACCGGCAACCCACCGCTGCCCCCAGCCAGCTCCAGGGGGGGTGGGGAGCCAGGACTCCTGGGTTCTATCCCTGGCTTGGGGAGGGACATGGGGTCTAGTGGTTAGCGTGGGGGGGGGCTGGGAGCCAGGGGTCCTGGATTCTCTCCCCAGCTCGGGGAGGGGCATGGGGTCTACTGGTTAGAGTGGGGGGGGGAGGGGCTGAAAGCCAGGACTCCTGGGTTCTGGCTCTGGGAGGGGAGTGGGGTCTAGTGGTTAGAACAGCACGGGTAGGACTCCTGGGTTCTATTTTAGTTTACTGCAGGGTTATTCTCCATTTACCCCCGGTCTCTCTGATTCCTCAGATTACATCGAGGCCACCAAGATGTTCCTGATGCTGGGCCTGCTTGCGGGGCTGCTCTCAGCCTTCTCCCTCCTCGCCTTGCTCAGAGGCTCCAGCTTTGACACCGTGTCCCCCTTCGTGGTCTCTGCCATGGGCAGCTTCAGCGCGGGTACCTCCCCCCTCCCCCTGCAGAGACCCTGCTCTGGGCTCTGGCAGCCCTCCCTGGTGGTGGGATGGGGCAGGGGCCCTGGGACTTGCCTGGGGGGTGCTAAGGGGCGTCTGTGCTTTGTTCCCTTTGGCCCTAGGTTTCTGCATCCTGATTGCACTGACCGTGTTCACCAGCGAGTTTGCTGAAGTCATGAAGGTCACTTGGCTCCATGTCTCCTTTGGCTGGTCCTGGGGCCTCGGCTGGGCCTCCATCCCCCTCTTCCTGCTGACCGGTGAGCGTGCCGGAAGGGAAATTCAAAATGCAGCCACCTCTGGGGTGAGGCTGGTTTACACACGAGGATGGCTCACCCAGCGGTGAGATGCAGCCACCTCTGGGGCGGGGCAGCTGGGGAACGGCTGCAGACAACGTCGCACAGGGACGGCTCACCTGGCGCTGAGATGCAGCCACCTCTGGGGAGGGGCAGCTGCAGGGGTGCTGGAACTAATGGTGGTTTCCATCATATACAGAATTTATGTAAATGGCTCTTGGCACCCGTACTATGCAGCTTGTTCCTGGACAGCTGGAGAACAGCCACACACAATGCTGCTTGGCGACAGCTTGCCCGGCACTGAGATGCAGCCACCTCTGGGGCGGGGCAGCTGGGGAACAGCCGCACATAACGCCACACAAGGACAGCTCACCCGGTGCTGATGCAGCCAGCGCTGGGGTGGGGCAGCTGGTTTCTAGTGGATGCTGATCCCGTCAGTCCCATTGCTGCCGTAAGCTCATTTTTCAAATCTTTCCCTCAGGTGGGGTAACGTTGTTGGCCCAGGAATCCAACTCCATCTGAGCACGGGGCCTGAGCTGCCCCCTGGGGACGGCGCCGGGAGCCGCCGGGGCCAGGTGGAGCCTGCAGTGTTGTGGGGAAGAGTCCCCCAGCACCCCAGAGCAGGGGTGTGTGTCCCTGCTGCCCCCTGCTGGAGGGGCTGAGCCCTGCGCTGTGTGTGTGTGTGTGTGTGTCTCTCTCTCTCTCTCTCTCTCAACCAGGCAGCGCCTCCTCCCCCAACTTCTACTGCTCCGGCTGTGACCCCCCCCCCACATCCCTGCCCCATCCCTTGGGGCCCCGCAAACGTTTTTTGTACAAACATTAAAGAATCCGTCCCCAAAGCATCATGTCTGGTGATTTATTCCCGTCTTTCTTATGTTTTGAAAGGGGGTCCGGACTCCTGGGTTC